GCCTTATCCACCTGGTCAGTCCTCCTTCTAATCAGTAGTTCAGAATTAGGGACAGTGGCAGATAACCTTAGTAGCTTTGTCATAAATACAAATACCAACTACATTAATAACATTTATCAGTGAAAATAACTAGCGTTATCTCGGGTATAAATATCATAACTGATTACTTAATGTTTTTTGCGATAAATATGAATGTAGCCGTGCAAATTTCATAACTACCTAATAATTTGTAACCAGCTTAAGTTTTTAAATACAATTACTGACATTTAGTTTTGTATAAAAAAAGAGATATATCATATAAACGTATAGTTCTGGTTAGGAATTAACGTGAACTCCATACTAGGGGACCGTCTTAAAGCGAAATACAGAGCTTCCACAGGAAACTTAAAAACATCTAAGTATATTTTACGGTTTCGAAATATAAAAATATTTGCTATAGTTATTATTAATATTTCTTGATCTGGTGATCTAACTGAAGAGAATCACATCGATGCTTACTGCTTCCAAAGAAAAATCAATTGGTGAGGGTGTTAAATTTTGTACAAGGATGAAGGAAACGTATTTTAACAGCACAAATGTTTAACTTCGGCGATAACCTAATTTAACTTTTACATACATGATTTGAAAGTGAATCATAAATATGGGGCTTTTAAGCAACATTAATAGCTAGTTCAGTTTCACAGGTATATATTAGAAAACTGACTATTCCACTTCAGAACCAGAACAATGTTCCAGTGACTCTAGTCGATGTAAACGAAGTTACGTCACATATCACTTTCCATCGAGGATCGAAACCAGAAAAACGTTCAAGTCAATCCGAAAAACTTACAAACAACTTCTTTTGACAAATAAAACATCAAATTAAGGTGTAGTCACTTGTAACTTGTTTTTTCATACAAGATTTTTGACAATTCAGCTTTGAAATATATTGAACTAAGGTAATTGCATGCATAATTGAATCAAACATTGATGGCTAAGAAATCATTAATATGTTTGATCGAATGAATATAAAACAGTATAAGTTTTAACAGATTAGCAACTAAATTGGTAGACACGCTCCTGTCTTCTTATCGGAAGCTTATAACCTCACCTAACCAATGGTTATAATGAAGTTGGAACACATTTGTTCAATTCTATAAGAATGATAAAAATAAAGCCTTAAATAAATATTTAGATATTCCTATAAATTTCTGCATTCAAATTATGAACATAAAAGTCCAGAAAAAAAAACATGTTTATAAAAAAAGTGTCCGAATTCAGTGAACAAACGTTATGATTTCTACAACATGGAAGCAATTTCGAGAACATTCACAAATTATTTTCTAAATTGGAATTGTAAAATATCTTCAGTTGTAAGAAAGAGAGAAAGAACTGAATAATTATTCTACTTTTGTCACTAAATAATTCATATTTGTATCCATGATTTATATGTTTATATTTGTAAAGTTATGTTCCACGTTTTATATCGAAGATCAAAGCGTCAAACGTATATATATATATATATATATATAAATATGAACTGTATTTGCTTCATATAGGATGAAGTAAGGAAACTTACTGAATGTGGAAATTTTTACCACTTTGGTGAAAAAAGGAAATAAAACTGAAACCTGCACAAGCTTTTGCTATCGTCTTTCACTGAAAACTGACTTACAATGTTATAATGTTTCTATATGGATCCGTTAGAAAGAAATACCATGATAAAACTTTATCAGAAAACAAATTATGTTATGTATTTTTGTGAAATAAAGTGCAACTAATAGATACAACATGATATGTGGTATGTTTTTGTTAATCACAAAAGACAACACTGGACCCACTAATAAAGAATTCTCTTGTACTTAGTTGTATATATTTTTCAAACAGTACAGAATTAAGTAAACATTAATTTTCTTCTTTAAATACAGCAAGGCGTTGGTTAAAAATATATAAATCTATGTTTAAAATTTATTCAGTTAACTTAGAATGTATTTTTAACATCAATGTACTGTTTAGTATCTATATTCATAGCACATTAGCTATGTTATTTTATATTTTTTACACATTAATCCAGAGTTTAAACAAATTGAAAAGAAATTTATTTTTACGACCAATATTTCCATTTCTTTCTTCTAGCCAATCGAAATATTAAATTTGAATATTTATACAATTATTATATATAAGAATAATGCACGCATAACATACATTACTTTACATAGTTAAAGATACTTAGATTTGCAACTACAGCATATTCAAATATCTGAATAATTTTGTAAAATCTAGAAAAAAAAAATTATTGAATATGGCAATCAAACGAACATCACCAGTATCGATTTTCTTTCGGTTATAAGTGAAATCAAAAAATAACTTTAAAATGACATTAACAAACTTTTTAAAGGTGTTACTGTTGTGCGCAAAGTTATACAATGGCTCTCAGTGCTCTGCCCATCACTGGTATCGATACCTGATTTTTAGTGCGATAAGCTCTCAGACTTACTACTTAACCAACAAGGGCGAGATATAGATAATTATGAAACCACAATTTACGATACATTATTTGAACATAATATCGGTACATGTGGTTCTATCTTAAAGTATTAATGATAATTGATTCTTCTTCTCATTGTTTTGAAAAAAGGACAAAAGAGATTTTCATTATTCTTTCCTTTTTAAAAATCATAATTAATCAATATAATGGTTGAATTACTGGAATACGTAGTGTCTTCCAGCACTAGTTTGCTTCTATATACCACAACAATGGCCCCCAAAAGAAATTATAAAACATAATTACTTTAACTTGATTATACAATTTCTTAGAGAAAAGCTGTTTTTCAGGCTTATCATTACGTTATTTACATGAACGTTTGTGTTGTTAAGCACAAAGCTGCACAATAAGCTTTCTGTGTTCTGCCCACCGTGTTTTTTTCTGTGTTCTATCCATAACTAACCACTGGCCACGCTTGGTGCATTATGAAACAAATTAACTAGGTAACAGTAATGGTCCGAAAAGGGATATTTTATTTCAATACTGTTTAATAGTAATCTTGATGATGTGTGTAATATTTGACAAGGCAACAATAGAATTTCTTACAAAAGAATACGACAGTGTACAACAATATTGCAAAAGACAGTGCAGGGGAAATTTTCACTCAACTTTAAAGTATTGTTAACAGTAGACATTTTGCAATAGGCTAAATTATAATAAGAAACCTTACAAATTGATATCACACTTATTCAAAATAGGAATTAAAGTATGTAATATGTTGTACAAATTGATAATAAAAATATTAATAAACTTCAAATATTTACTCTATGTTATTAGCCATATGTTCAACAAGGTCGAAGTAAAAGCACTGAAACGTGAATACTGTATTCAAGTCAAAACGAGAAGGGTTCAAAGAGCCAAACAATCAAATTTGTATTATGTTGTGGACTATACTTCACTTCTGAGATAGTATTTTTGGGTAGAATGGCGATTGTTATTTATGACTTAAGGATTATTTGACTCATACTGTGACGTCAACCACTTTCTTAAATGATTCATTGTTTTCTTTGTTTATTGCAAAGCTTCAAAGCCTATATCTCTTGCTGTCTATAATTTTTAATTGTCGACCAGCGGGAAGGCTAGCAGCAGACAGTACTCAAGGACAGTTGTTGGGCTAATGTTTTATCAACGAATAATGAGATTGACTGCCACATTATAATACTCCCACGGACAAAAGGGCGAGCATGTACAACTTCAGGTTTTATCCCACGACCTGCTGATTGCTAGTCGAACATCCTAACCATGAGGCCAAGTAGGTCTATAGCTCTCATTGCTATACAAAAATGTTACTTTCACAAATTCTACTAGCTTCGATATAGAATAATAGTTTATCGTGCTTCTTCTGTAGTGATTTACCTTTGTGAAACGATATTATATACTAGCCTTTTATTTAAGCTAAAACAATCGTTTTATATCTAGTTCTTGCGCCATTTCAACCAATGTACTGAAGTTTCTGACAAAGAATTGGCAGAGTCGACACTTTCAAACATGCACACTTAATTTACATCAAGTCCTCCAATCTCAGGCCAACTAATGCCTTAGGCGTATAAACTAGATAGATATACAAGAGACTTAGTTTGCAGAGTTGTGATCAAGATATCCAGGACCCATTCAGAATTTCAATTACTTCATATCCTCAGCCCCCCAGTGGTATGACTTACAACGCTAGAATCCGGGTTTCGATACCCGTGGTGGGCAGAGCACAGATAGCCCATTGTGTAGCTTTGTGCTTAATTACAAACAAACAAACAAATCATATCCTCAGCCCGTATTGATATGCTTATCTTATGAATTTAATCAAATCTTATTTTCCTTATCAAAAAAAAAGACCTTGATTTGCTGTAAAAATAGCTTTTGTGTATTATATAATAGATTTAACTGAACAGCAGTTCTATGTAGATATTTTTATATATGTTGATATCAGAAAGTCACTTATGTAGTAGCCTCCAAAGTTTTCTGTGCCACATATTTTAATACCAAAATAATGGCTGCTAACTATCTATCTCACCAAATATTGTGTAAGTATAAAACACAACTAAAAAAGCTAAAAACAAGAAAATGATAGTGAACGTATAATAATAAAAAACATTAAAATATATTATATTAGAAAGAATTTACATTTATTGACGAAAATAATGAACATGACTGTATTTACAAATGACATATTAACTAAGTAAATAATAATAACAACTTTAATAAGTGGATCTGACCTACTTTTTATTTATCATTATCTATGTAGAAAATCCCAAAATCACAAGTTGTCTGATAATTAGTTACTTGCCTTTGTGTCTGAATACAACTGCTAGGTTTCAGTTTTGTTGTTATATTTTATTGTTATATGAAATAAAGTACATTATTAGCAGCATCGTATGTCATACGATTTTTTTTTATCACGAACAAATAACACTACAAACATAAAAACTATTTTTATTTTAAATAATTTGTAGAATATTTTGTTTCGTTTACCGAACAATTTTTAATCTAGTTTTTTTCCTTATTATAAAAGAAGGTGATTTTCAGTTAAAGAAAGGAAGGAGATCACGAGTGTATCTAACTTTCATTCATTCTGGTTGTCAATTCTTTATTAGTCCAGGGAAGCCATACGTTAGAATGTGAATGGGAGTTTTTAGCATGAGTTCTCAGCGTTCTGGCCCGGCATGGCCAGGCGGTTAGGGCACTCGACCGGGAGAATCCCCGTCCCACCGAACATGCTCGCCTTTTCAGCCGTGGGAGCGTTATAATGTTATGGTCAATCCCACTATTCGTTGGTAAAAGAGTAGCCCAAGAGTTGGCGGTGGGTGGTGATGACTAGCTACCTTCCTTTTAGTCTTACACTACTAAATTAGGGACGGATAGCGCAGATAGCCCTCGTGTAGCTTTGCGCGAAATTCCAAACAAACTACTCAGCGTTCTCTTTTCTCAATCGAACCTCCTACTGTATTTTCGAATATTTATGTTTACAAAGATTCTTATATTTTTAACCACTAATAAAATCTGCCCAAATTTCAATAAACTAAACTCATTTACATTTAATTTGATTGCTAAAAGCTCAACCCAACTCGTCAACATTTTATATCTTTTAAGTCTCACAAGAGGCAGTTAAGAATCTAGAAAAAGAGAAGGAAATATCATAGTCAGTTGACAAACAACGATTTATAAGTATGTATGGGGGAATATACTACATCTATCGACTCGAAGTACAGTCTACTTTAACAAAAGGCAGCTTTCTTAGTACTTTTATTTGGATGTACTTGAACACGTAGTGACCAGTTAGAGCAATTTATATGGTATGTTTAATTACATTTCTTAACTGTGAGTCCTGCATGTCGTATTTCATCATAAAATCTCCACGTTCATTTTTCTATTATATTCTTGAAAGAGTATCCTTTCATTAGGTATTAATTATAAGTTAAATATAATAAATTCTTATTAAGTCTCTTGCAATCATCTATTTTAACACAATGCCATCTTAGTAAAGATCATTTTAAGATATGGTATTGACAGATATCGTGTTCTTTTAGTGCCTCAAATAAAACCATAAATTACATTATATTTCTTTGATCTATATGATCTATTTTGACCCAACGCACTAATTTATCAGGAGTCTGATTATAACATAAACCAACGTAGTATTTAATACAACGGTCGTTTCACACAAATATTGGTTGGACTAAATTAAACATTCATTTTAAGACTTGTATGATAACTTATACAAATTTAGAATTTTTAGAATTATTATTTATTCATTGAAGAACTTGTGTTCTGATCAAAATGAACCGAACATTCTCTTCTCTGAGCATATATTACGGTTGTGTTGAATTCAAGAATCATGTTATTAGTTATCATGTTGCCACCTAGAATGTACGTCAAAGGTTGTGAACCTGACACGAAGAGCGGCACACTCGCTATATCTGCCGTCAGTATCCGTAGGTTGGAGGTTTGTTTGTTTTTGAATTTCGCGCAAAGCTACACGAGGGCTATCTGCGCTAGCCGTCCCTAATTTAGCATTGTAAGACTAGAGGGAAGGCAGCTAGTCATCACCACCCACCGCCAACTCTTGGGCTACTCTTTTACCAACGAATAGTGGGATTGATCGTCACATTATAACGCCCCCACTGCTGAAAGGGCGAGCATGTTTTGGTGTAACGGGGATTCGAACCCGCGACCCTCAGATTGCGAGTCGAATGCCGTAACCACCTGGAGGTACTTACCATTAACTTGTACTTTTACACAACACTCTCACTATTGTGGGTTTTATTAAGACCCCAATAGTCACCAGATCTTCTTATCTTGACTTAAAAAGAGTATTCGTGTTTCGGTGATTTTATTTCGACCTTGTTTAATAATTCGAAGTTTATGAGATTCTCTCTCTTTTTTTTTTATCGATTTCGACAACACGTTACATAATTGAATTCATATTGCGAATAAGTTTGATATAAGTTTGTAAGATTTACTATTAAGACTTAGTTTATCGCAAAATGTCTGATGTTAAGATTTTTTTTTTAAAGTTCAGCGTAGATATCCTCTTGTACAGTCTTTTGTCAAACTGTTCTACAGCTTATTATTCTTTGGATAGAAATTCCACTCTTGCCAAATCAGATATTTCACTTGTCATGAAGATTACTATTTATGATTATTGTAACAAAATATATCTGTTTAGACCAGTATTGTGACCTAGTCCGGGCATGACACCTTCATTATTTTGCTGAGTTATAGTTAGGTTAATGATACGAGTCCCTTTACCGATAAAGAGAAAAAAACCAAATCGGACCTCATATTTTTGAATGCACATGTGTTATAAGAGGGGGACGGTGAAATAACACTATTCGACTAGAATAACCCCTAAAACTGGTGGTGGGTGCTGTTCAGTAGTAATGTTAGAACACATAATCACAATGATGATGATGTCGCAACGGTTCGCGTTAGAAAGTATTATACAAGGGATGCTGAATAAACTGTGGATATGCATTTAGGAGGTTCCACAGATTTTGCAAATGCAACTTGCAAACTATACGAAGGAAAAGAATATTTCTATTCTCCACGTGATCATCGTCTTTCACTCCGACTTCTGAGAGTCACGGTCAGAGTCTGATTCACTTCGGCAATTCACACACAGATTTTTAGTACAAAAATTATCAAAAGAACAGTATTATAATATCAATAATTTTGTTCGAGATATAGAATTACAATTGTTTCGGTGTCTTTGCTACGCCCTCTACATTAATACCCCGTTAACTTTCATACACACTAGTCCCTTGAAGACAAAGTAGTTAAGCATGTATTTTTGTAAATGTATTACTACTGTAGCACGATTTCGTTTATTTAACTTCATATATAGCCATATTACTTGTTTTTAGTTTTCACAAACCCTCCTCTTCAGAATCAGGTCATGTAGCAATAAAATTCGAATTTTGAACGCAGATGGTTTATTGTGTAGGTTTGTGCTTAACAACAGAACAAAAAAAGTTCATACATAATAAGAGAAAACAGTGAGAACTGGATCTGTTATTTCAAAGAGGAAAGAATATTGAGAGATTAAGTAAGAGGATCACATAAATTCAGTATTTATTTCAAAATTTTCTTCTGATGTTATCAAGAAGTCTTAGAAATGTAAAATATTTCACATTCAAAAAATTCATCCTAACCACTATTGACACAGCTCTTCCGAAAATTTGCCTTGCTGTGTTTGAAGAGGAAAACTAATGTTTAATTAATTTAGTACTGTTTGAAAAATATATGTAACTAAGTAGAAAAGGATTGTTTATTATTTGAGCTCAGTAGTTTTGTTTGTTTGTTTTGAATTTCACGCAAAGCTACACGAGGGCTATCTGCGCTAGCCGTCCCTAATTTAGCAGTGTAA